CGAATCTCTTAAAGTTCGGAACGCAGAAGAAAGTAACCGTTATGTAAATAATACCCATTCTTTTCACGATGATGATTTGGGTCTGACAATAAACGGTTGTGCTGGTGATGAATCAAATAATACAGTTCAAATTGCTGTCAGTACGACACCCAGTTACAGTAACTGTGCAAAAGCTAACGGGCAAACTAGCTTGAGTAATTATATAACTGACCACTCTCTGGAAGTCGGTAAATTAGAACTTTTCAAAGCACCGAAAGTATGCTTAAGAACGCTCGATTTTCTCCGAATTCCAAAGGAGCTGAGACAAACCAAAAACCTCAGAAATAAATATCTGTAACATTTTATACATACATCAGGTCTAAAAGGTAATTCGAGTTATAAACGGTTTCTTAGTCGCACACATAGTCTTGATAACCTTCTTGGTCCCGCTCTCATGATTTACAGCATACGTATGTCAAATATTAAAGTTAGTATCAATCAGGAGACTTCCTGAGGTTCTGCTTAGTTCTCTGCCGGCAAAGGTATGTATATTTGAAGTGGTGACTAGAATGCTGAATTTACTCCCCCTTATAACACAATTCTTGCATCAGACAATCCAACAAGTATTCAGTTTTGTGCAGTTGTCTTGATGACTTGATGTATTTTTCGCCCGGTTTCGGAGGCTTTCGGATCTGAATTTTTATCTTTATCAGGTTATCCAACCATCAAAGCCATATATTATACTGTTATTTAAGCTTACGTGTGAGTATTTTTGAATTATTAACTACTTTATTGTGTCTGGATGCCAATCAACTCTTTCTTGTGATATTATATGAGAATGGATACTAATGTGTACCGGTCAGTTACTGAATGCAAACCGGTGCGAATTTAAGAAAAAATAATGTCATACCATGTGTTCTCTTAAAGACGCTTTTCAGATGTGTCGATTAATATATCAGCCTCATATATTTTGAATACGGACATATGGGTGATAATCATATATTTTATTCCGATCATCTATTCAATTAATATTCATTTATGAAGTGCACATTGAAGGTATAAACCATGGATTTAGAAAATTACGAAGTATGAATTCCATTGTTACACCAGTCCTTCCAAACAGGTTTTTGGTAGTCGAAAATAGTCAGTTTTATGGCAAGTTCTACATTAAAGAAAGACCTGATCGTCGTTGATTGATTTATTATTTGATCGCGTCTTCTACCTCAAGCTCAAATAGCGAAAAGTATATGAATTATTGTTCTGTAATTTGAATAAGTGACCACATTATAAACCGCGTTTGTCGGTCTTAAGTACATTGGTATATCCATTCGAATGTGTGGAATAACTAACTGATGGTTTTCGAGCAAACGAAATCCTCGTTAATAGGTCTAGACGGAAAACTGCTTTGGGGAAATAGAATTTGGGCTCCTTAGTATATAAGACCACAAATGATGCTGCTAATCAACAGGTTTTGCATCTCTAATGAAGTGTACTATATGTAGGATACAAAACTTGGACAAAACCCGCAGCATTCCAGGCCTTTGATAGACATCGGCTTGAATGTGTGTGGTCATACACGTAATGTTGCTTGAATGCAACAAACTTGTCGTCGAAAGTTGCTGCGATGGTGAATATTGCAAAGGAGAATGCTTCAAAACTCAGCCCAGCTGTTTCTATTGAAATGTTTCGGGTAATGGTCATAGGTTTTCTCTTACCATGACCACAGCTTACTTAATCATGTGACCTGAATGTTTCGCAGAAGCAATAACCTAGACAGAGGAGTTTTAAGGTGGTTTCCCCCTGTATTCTACCTTATCATTTGCTCGCCCATATTGCCTCAATATAATCAGGTTGAGAACAGGTATTTTTCACAAAGAGCATTTTAATGATACATGCTGATTACAAATTGAGGAGAAAAACCTTCACATACTGGTTTGCAACACAATACGAAATGACAATTACTGATCATTTTTGAAATGAAAGTAACAATAATCAACGGCACTACATACATATTGAGGAGGCATGTGGCTAAATGAAGCAACTTTATCACTTCGTCAAGCTTACTCGCTTGCTAGCAGTGTGGTGTGTGCTACTGGTGTCAATAGATATAAGTGGTGTGTATTATCAATCTAAAGTGGAATACCTGGTGGCAAAAGGCTAAGAAGATTGAAGAAAACAGAACGAGAACAGTGAATGACTAGTGTGGGAACGAAAGAACAATAGATTCTGAGACGGTTGACTGATATTTTGCAAATGAAATATGTACTACATGATTCTCGGATTTTACTAATAGATTCTGTAATTTTATGTTAAAACACATTCGATTGTTCCCATTTGTGTTCTAGTTCACTACAACAGGTGTAAGTACTTTAGTAAATAAGTCGAGCATGAATGGCCTGTCCTAAAATGGGATTGTTCCCCAGCTAAAATCTCGTTACCTTTCACATATTTTAACTATCCAAAAATCTCTTCTGATATTTTTATAACCAAACTTGTTAGACCAAAGAGTCGATAGTTAAAAATTAAGTCTCTACTTTCTGCTCTATAGACCGAACTGGTTGTTGGGTCGCTCCAGACTCTTTACAGTTACAACTGCCTCCGAGACATATGAAACGTTTGGTTATAGGGTCAACTCCCATAATCCTAGGATGAATATCATCATGGCCACCGAATTTATCTTGTTTAAGATGTTGAGGAAATCGAGAAAGAGCTCTTTTCGCAATAACCACAAATGCTAACAAAAGCTGTCACTGTCACAATTAATAGTTGGTCTCTCACAGTCGTCGGTAGAAAACACTTTGTTAGAATATTCCGACAAATCTCAAACTTTTGTAATATTATTTCTTGCCGATCGCAATGGATTTTCTCGCACCTAGATTTGTGATATTCCATTGCATCTCTGAGTTTGCCCCTTTATATACGGTAACAACCTTTTTGGACTGTTTTCACAATATGTTAGGTCCAAACTAAGGTTTGTACTAAAGAATAGCTGGCTAGGTGGGTTGGATACGCGCCCTTGTCCGGTTGAAACCAAAACAAAGTGGTTGGGTAAAGTGAAGGTTCTGAAATTCATTATAAATTTAAATGTACATTGTTACCTAAACAAATATGGCCAACCAGCTACTCAACCAATAATCATTCAATTAATCAAATCTAGATTGCAATAAGGAAGTTGATAAACGATGCTATTTTATCCTGTCTGGATAGACCATGCACAGATTCGTTGAAAATATAATATTTGGTTGCTTTATTACACAATGTTTCCAATTCTGGAACAGTTCTTCAATCCACACTTAAAAATGCACGATTCCAGGCAATACAAGGAATAAATTCAAAAGGTGAAACAAACCAATATGGCTGCTGCCAAGACTAGGTATCAAGTAAAACCACATAAATGCAGTTCAGGAAGAAACATGGAAACTTAGTGATGGCTTAAGAAAAATAAAAACTATAATAAAATACAAATAATACCAACTCAAACGGAATCAAAGAGACTAACAATGTACAACTAAATGAATAAATAGGAACAAACTGCTAGTGTAAACATGGAGGGATTTGCACACACAAAACATTCAAAATGGATCTTACATTGCCTACTGGTTTGCTTGTATATAAGCCAAGTATTTCTGAAATATATGACCCAAAAGTGGAAGCTGAGATTGTGTTCTGGACTCAGTGGGAACGGGGAGGCAAGAGCAATCAATGAGGACTCAGAGTCGACTCTAGGCTACTCTTACCGGTTAACTTATCATTGGTTTGGCACAGGGTCAAGGCCACAGAAACCAGTGTCCCATCTGGCGATGTGGCCACGTGATAAAAAACCAGGCATAAGAACATGACAAATGGTATATGTGCCTTTAAAAGACGTGTATATTTCAGAAATTTCCTAATTATGTGCAGCCATGTTTGTATTAAGCATTTGTTTCCCCTTCAGCTAAAGGAAACCTTTGTGTCACACAATTGTCGACTGGATTGTGGGAAAAGCAGAATTCGAGTAGTTGCAAATGACATGTACTCATCCCGTGCACATGAAGTGTGAGCACTTTGTTTTATTTGGTCTATTCTGTTAAAAGTGCTATACGTCTGCCGACTCCAGGATAGCATACTTGTACGGACAATATTTGTTACCAATAAAATGTGTCTACCTTAGTAATACAGATTTTCAGTGTGGCGATAAATAAATCCCCAAAATAAATAGCTCTGTAAGTTTTCGACATTGGATGCTGACCATATTAGGTTTAATGAATTCACCTAGCTGAAGGCGCTCGGTCATGCATCCGCACCAGATCACGAGTGGGAACGCAGTAGTCGACATCCCCTGCAATCGCTAACCAGCTTAGATCAGACGATTCTCGATATGTTGATAGCCTATCAAACATATCTTCCAACCTTCCCACTTCTGTTCTTTGATTTCACTTGGTGGGTACGCTTCACATTAGAAGGTGTTACTGATTAAAGCGTTATCGAATTCCGAATACCTGTGGCATCTTCAAGACTTTCAACATTTAACACTGAGAAAAACCCGACATTGGAGAAGGCAGGAGGGAAGAACTGAACTAATTCGAATTGATCGGACGGTATGGTTCAGCGTCGCAGGCATGGTCGCTCTGTACAACTTGCTCTTACTCTTATGAAATATGTTGTTACGACACGATGAGTCATTGTAGAAAAGGATGTGATTTACACATAGGATTAGCCAGTAACATCATAACCAACGTGGAATTTGGGGCTGATGTCCATAATAATATATTTCCGCAAGGGCGGGTACACGCCATTTTTACAGGCATGATCTACAAATTACATTTATTGGTTCACAGTATGCACGTTAAATAAATATATTCTATAAAATTAATACCAGTTTATTCCTTCAGATATATTGAGTAATCTTCGAAATATTCTCCAAAGTGACATCGCGTCCACGTTACACACTATCCAATCTCGGCATAATTGTGTTAGAATTTCGGTCGTGCGAAGTATTTACGAAATGCAAGTTTTTAAGTTTATAGTTGTTATTTCCATAGGCTCACTAACAATGAGTTCAATAAGCAGAGTAATTCCGTACGCGTTTGTTCTAGACTTTCAGGGCGGGGTTTTCGGGTCTAAGGTCGCGGTGATGTCACTAGACCCGAAGTACGCAGACTTACCATGGATTGTGAGTTCATTCTGTACTAAAACTCTTCCTTCAATCTAGGCTCACGGACAACCAGATGTCTACGAGGCTGGGGAGCTCCCGGAAGCAGATCAAATGATGAAGGTGAGGTCTGTCACGGTTCCTATTTATTTTTAAGGAAACCGTCGAGGATACAATGTCGGCTAGAGAGATAGAAGTTGTTAAACTATCAGTATCAGAAGCACATAGACGGTTTGCTGGCTGTAAGGTTGATTCTTCAAACGTTGGTCAGTTCTTAAACGACACGCAAACTCTTTTTGCTTAGACTTTTCCGACTCAATATCTGGGAATGGTAAAATTGGATATGCAATAGAAATGGATCAGTATGATTTTGTAAGCTTCAAAACGTTCTTTCATTCTTAGTTTTCTCCTGAGTCAAAGGACAAAGAATCACTTGTGAACAGATTCCAACGTCTGCAGACTGAGACGCATCAGTTAATTAGTGACATACAATTTGTATCAGACCAAAATAATCTAAACACAAAAGAACCTATTTCTACTGCCCAACTACTGTCGTGCGCAGAAATGTTATCTGAGAAGTTAACAACGATTAACCGTGACGAATTGTCTACGATATGCGCGGACTCATCTGATACTGTCGGTCAAACGTTGCATAGGTAATATTATTATATGTAACTAAATAATCTACCTTGTACACTCCTATTGCGAGATTAAAAGTGAGGCGATGACATTCAGACATTGGAAAAACCGCTGTTGGATGTATACTTGTTTCAAACTCACAATAAAAACTTGACTTAACGATTGGTTTATTGGTTATCTGTTTAGAAAACCATTGATACATCAATTGAGCCACTGGGCTTTGAGTCAGTGTTTCACAAGCTCACATAGTGCTCCACCTGTCAAGGATCACGTTTCTAAATAATTCACTCGTCATGTAGTGAATTCAGGTCGTCACATAGTGCTTGGAACTGTACATTGATACTGAGACACACTGTGCTATCAAATCATAAACTTTACTTAATCATATGCCATTTCTTAAAAATTATACTTTTAATAATCAGAATAACTTCAAATTGGTGGTGGCGATGTGCTCACTTTGAAGTGATTAGAATCTATAAGTCTTTTGTCATAAAATACTAGTTAACTGATATCACAAATGATACAAGTGATATTTTAGTAGTCATATTCCATATCTTGTACTCATAATTGCGGTCTTTTGCGTTGGAAGGCGTTTGTTTCATGTTTTCTTAACACCCGACCAAAGTCTAAAAGGTGAAAATAATGAAAATCCGTAAAACCCAATTGCTGTTCTAAGGTATGTAATTTCTAAGAAACTCCATATGCATTTAACCCTGATACTACAAGTTAATTAGTTTTAGTGTCTTTTTTGCACCTATTAAAATTTCGAATTAAGAAACAACATGGATTTTAACCCATGATGCATTTAATGTAAACTTTCCATACAGTAAAGCAATAGTGTATGTATACCTCAATCATTAGGAAGTTTCTTATTCACCCTCCGAAGAGGAGACTTAAACCAAGCTGCGAAATGTTAGAATTTCAACTTTTACTTATTTAAGTATTACAGATATATTGTTTTACTATCATAAGCAATCCATCCAAGGTTCAGTTCTTAGGATGTCATTCGTACTGTACCATCAGTCAATTGTTGGAAGACTTGGGTGACAAATATCATTTGTGTCTGTTGATATAAAAGCTGTTGGTGTACCTTATGATCCTAGAGCGAATTGGTTGCTGCATGTCAGAAAAAAATTATTTTGGTCATTCACACAACTGTGAACTTGTATGAACTAGATAGTACAAACGTTCATTGAGAAGTACAGATTTTATACTGTTAATTTATTTTTACATGATGACGAAAACATAAGTATATCATCCAAAACCTCGTTCATGGATATTATTTCTAACATAAATAATGGTTACCTGCCATATCAAACTTGCAAGTTTATCAGTCTATCTTTTAATTTCTAGTAAAATTTTGAGACAGATTGACGAGTTCAAACCGGAAAAACCAGCTTCTAGAAGTCCAAAGAAGTCAAATCATCTAATCTACGAAATATATGACCGAAAGAGCTCTATCCAGCAATCAGATGCTGAAAAAGTAAGTAACTACGCAGCTTCCTTGTGCTACTAAATGGTTATATTTCAACTTGCTTCACGTTCACAAATGCCCTGGTACAGCCGAGAGTAGGAAGAGTCAACTCTCACTGTCGAAATGTTCTTACATGACCACGTGCATACAACTACTGGCAGGAAAGTCCTACTCACTACCTTCTCGCGGCAGGGATGCCGTTTACGAAATTGAGAGGACGAAAAGTAAATGTCCGGCGCTTTAACTGAGTTAGTGGATATAGAAGTTTCACGTAGGGAAGTTGGAAAATTCTGATTCCAAACCAATGTTGCACATGGGCTACAGGATCCTGAGGGAAGAGTTGTCGTATTTATTTTATTTATTTGAACACATAAATATTGGTACAAGAGAGCGCCAATATATATGCGTCGTATGAATCTAATCGTTGGTCATCGGCTACTATGGGACTGGATATCCTTATGTTGCTCCAACACCTTGTGGATTAGACCTTTATGTCTAAGGTTCGAGGCCTAGATCCCTAAAAAAACCATCCGTCTTAATTTGGGCGCCCGGGGCAATACTACAGCACACGCAAATCAAATTATTTGTGTGACGCATATATACTTGGTGCCTCCTAGTACCAATATTTGTATTTAACTAAATTAATTAGTTAAAGATTGATAGTTTGGTGAATATATGTAGTTGATCTTCCAGTTATTTCTGGCTTTTGCCAAGTTACGTCATCGATGGCACAGGCAAGGTATCCGTCTATCAATTAAGGGACGAGTATACTGCGCGGCAGTGCGTTCTGTCCTAATTTACGGCTGCGAAATGTGATCATTAAGAGTAGATACTTGTAAGCTAATAATGTTTGACCACAGATGTCTTGGAAATATTTTATATATTTGAACATAAATATTGGTACTATAGGGCACCAAATACATATGTGCCACACAAATATCATTCGATATGTGTGAGGGCTGTGATACTGCCCGGATGCCCAAACCGAAGCAGGTGATTTTCTTAGGGGGCCACTCCCCGAGCCTTCGACCTGAAGGTCTGATCCACAAGGCAGTGGAGCATCGTGAGGAGATGCAGTCCCATGGAAGCTGGTGACCATAAATTGGTTCATACGCCATCTGTTCCCCCAGGATACTGAAGCCCATGTGCACCATTGGTTTGGGATCCGGTTAAAATGCCGGACATTCGCTTTTCGTCCTCTCATTTTTTTAAACAACACCCGCGACACGAGAAAACAGTGAGTAGGACTTCCCTGGCAGAGGCTGTGTACGCGTAGTCGTGTGAGAGCATTTCGAGAGGGAGGCCGAGCCCACCCCACTCTCAGCCATACCAGGGCATTTGGTCGATCACCGGGTAATTAATAATGAAGTTATACGCAGGGTATTAGGGAACGATGGTAAATCAGTTGATGAGGTTGTGAATGTTCATCGACTGAGATGGTTGGGCCACGTATTACGTATGCTTGAACACCGCTTCCCACGACGCGCAAAGCTAACTGGTGTTGAGGAAGGTTGGAAGAAAGTTAGGGGCGGCCAAACCAAAACGTGGCATTAGTGCTTCAAGTCACTAACTTCAAGTCTTAGCCATGTTGGTAGATGCAGACCACTTGGTTGGGGTCCGCGTGTCTTTCGTAACCAATGGTTGGAGACTCTGGGTGACATGACTCAGAATCGATCATAATGGCGTCGGTGTATACACTCTTTGTCTTCCCTTTACCTATGATACTAAAATTATTTCATATCTTTCTTTCTACGAACTGACTTTCTTCCTGTACTATATCCTTATATGCAATCTTCCCTTTATTTATTACACCATTGAGTTAATTGCTTCTATAAATTTGATGTTCATCTTGCTGTGCTAATGAGGTGTGGCAACTTGGACCGATGCGCATGTGCCTGGTTCTACTTTGTAACCGACTGGATAGAAACAATCATTTTTAACTACAAATACCGTAACCGAAATTTATTGTCCCCAATAACGAACTAACAGGTCATATATATAACAACAACCATTAAGGGCGATTCATTTAGTTCAATTTTAGTGATGTAATAGTTGACGCGACTAAGTGTTCATCTTCAGGATGTATCTCATTCACTGGGTGCTGCTTCACATAATAATATTTAAGCCTTATTCCCTATGTAAGCGGTGTGATATTACCAGGTTACCAAATCAAAACGTTTAAGACGTTTCAAATATGAAGATTGATTGGTGTGCTTTATGTACTAAGCCATTGCTGCGGAGTTTGAAAATGAGTATGAAAGCTTTACTGGTAGTAATTTCTGAAATCTTTATCGGGAATCTGGGTTGAGGATATTGAGAAAGCATAATAGAGCATTCAAACTGCTGTTGAAAAGGTAGTTCTATTCATTCTTACAAAAAGAGCATCGATAAAGTAATTCCGTTTAGTATTTTAAAAAACCTGTCGGAAGTTATATCGAACAAAACTAGACTCGTTTTCAGATTGGATTGAATCTATGTTTGGATCAACATGTTCTAAGTAAAGTTTTCCAGTACAGTAAAAAAGTGTGAGACTATAATTTATGGACGACCTTTGAGCGACACTTAAGTGACTTTGCGAATGTCCACCTGCTTGCTAGGGTTAGATGAGGTTTGGGAACCCTTATGAAGAACAAAGATTATGATTCGCAGTTGGTGTTTAGGGTTTTCATCACGAACTGCCATCCGCTCAAACACCAAGACACTTTAACTAAGTGGATGGATGAATTTTGTGCCGAAATCCAGGACGTTATTTTAAATCTGACGGTTTTATATTGAACTTGTCTAAACATATGGCTTTGCAAGATCCTAAAATTAGTGTAAAATTTTAGGTGGCGGATATCGATCGTCGGATTCATCGTATCGAAGCTCTTATTGGCCAGCCAGATCCTAACAAACTCACAGCTCTAACAGCAGATACAACTACTCATGGTCTTCTAGAAGCGTGTTCGCGTCTGTCCGCTCGTTCGTCGTTATTTCAGCAGGGATATCTTGATATGATCGAAGCTCGCTTAGCATCATTGCAGGGGAAGCTACAAGCTGTTACTGAAAAGCGAGAGGCTATCGCGGACTATGATATGCAAAATAAAGTGAGTTTATGCTTTGCGTTGTGTTGCTTCAAAATGTCACCCATTTGCAATATGCTAAGAATGAGTTCTGTCTAGTTGTAAGGGCTCATCATAGTTTTACTTGCACATAAATTGGTCGAACTGTTAACTGCATCCATCGCTGTCTGAAATAACTTTTCATAATTTGCCTGTACGTTTTACTTCCAAATTTATGGCTGACAGTTTCTTGTTCGAGAAAGTAAAGTTGAAGTTTTCAGGTTAGCAAAAAACTTTACTGTCAGTCAGCCGTAGGTATCGTAGAACTAGACATATTTGCTTTAGTTCAATTCATCAAATCACAGCCAAGGCAGGAAGATAAAACTTTCAAGATCAGTACAAATGTAGGAGTAGTATCAAAAAAGATATGCCGTAGAATATGTGATCATCAAGAAAATAATGAACCTACTTAATAGGAGGTACTAAATAATTTTAAAAGGTCAAAGAAAGACAAAAGATAAAAGAATCTGTTTCATTGTGACAGGATGCGGGGTCCATCTTAATCTAAAATTTCTTCAGAAAGCGAATCCAGGATCGTCTTTTCACCCTCCTACTATACTAGCTTAGAGAAGCAAATGCAAATTATTAAGTATATTTCGAAGTGATTGATATGGTATATCTACACCATCTGCATTAATAAGCACTATTGTGCAGTAGAATCAATATTAGCTTATTGATTTCGAAAATATGTTATTCTTATATAAGAACTAAACAGAATATAGTATAAGGATTCTAGTTTTTTTACTTCTCTTAACAGATTTAATACTAAAATTCAGTTTAAAAGCTTTCAAAACTAACGTGGAAAACTAAATAAATTAGCAACAAATCTAGTTATGCATATTTTTGGTATTTTTAAGTGAGTTATTGTATTGTTTGCTATACTACTAGCGTTTCCACAAGTTATTTTTAACAGATGAAATTCTACCCACTTTATTTATATACACCTTGGTAAGTTCACTGATTAGAGATTACCAGTAGAGCTTAAGGCTCCACACTTCTTTTTAACCGAATTGTTGAACAATAACGAGCTATCTTGCTGAGTGACGACCGAAAGACTTCATAATATGAACAAATACACTTATTATCTAACTTTAGATCGCAGAACTTTACGAACTGGTAAAGAAATGGAATGATGTGGCCGAAAGTCTACCTGTGATTGTAGAACGACTTAGCACCCTAAAATCACTACATGAAGAAGGTAAGCAGAACATATGATTTGACATGTAACTTATCTTATTCGCTTTTTGAAATTCCTGTTTTGTATTTACTGTGGGGAGATGATATAATGATTATAAAAGTTGGACCGCACTTCGTGTACCTCGGTCTGACCAAATAATCGAGTCTTGACAAAAATAGTGTGACTGAAAATAGAATACGTAACCCCCTACCTTGGCTCTTGAGCTGGATAGCCAATTGTATTTCTTGAATGACTCATGTAAGCAGTAGATCACGAACTGTTCTGTTGAATACTAATACCACTTCACACAACTATCACTTTGATTAAACCTAAAATTTCACAAAAGCTAACCCCACTATTTAATTCAAAACAACAAATGTAAATTCCGATTACTAATTAATATCCAAATGCAATATTAGAAAATATTTTGATTGGAAAGCATCGGGACTCGAAATTGAATGCATCTCGTCAGACCTCACAGATTGTATATTATATGGGTTAAGCTGGGAAAACAGGCGTAAGTTTTAATCCAAGTGAAGAGTTGAGTACATATTTCGAAGCTCATATCCTTCAGTCAATTATTTAGATGACATCTGTTCGTGTTGGATTTTATATCTAATATTTTGTGTAAAACTATACTATTTTACTTAAGAACAAAGGCCATTCCGCTAGTCGGTTGCGTCGCTTTCGATATTCGTTTATTTAGGGCCGTGCACCAACAATTCGGTCTCGTGAGAACTTATCAACAGACCATCCTGGATCATCGCGTTCGATCTATTGACCAATTCTCTATCCATTTATTCCAACGACCATAACACAGCAACATGTGTTTACTACAAAAAGCTGACTAAAACACTTCCTGTTTGCAAAGTTAACATATTGAAAGGAATAAGATTATCACTTGAACCTTTAATCAAGCTTAATGTCAAATTTTAAGCAGTGACAATGGAAAGTTGAGTACATACAGTCACACATTGGGAGAGTAGTCTAAGAAGACTATAATTGATGAAATTATTTCTGGACTGGGTCTTTATTACATTACATACTAGGTACGATAAAAAGACTAGTTTATTAAAGTGGATGGGTACCTTAGTTGTTAAATAATTCGATTACTAAACATTTGATCGCAAGTTTGAACCTCTCTTCATCTATCTTGGTTTGGGCAGAAAAATAGTATTAACATCCATCCAACTGTAGTTTCGCTTAAGGCAAAATACATGTAACTATGATTCATAAACGAGTAACGTTATTCTTTATTGAATAAGTACTATGAACACTGTTCATCTCATCACAATTGGTCATGTAAAACAATGACCTATTAAACAACATTTGAGCAGATTTTTCTACTAACCTGACTTTTTCCATATCAAATCATATGATAATTCAAAACAATAATTGATTTTGCTAACTCCGTCAGATACGTTCATTCCACTATTTAAAAATGAAGACTGCTCATAGTAGAAAGTACCTCATTTATATATTACTGATTGGTAATATACTTATCAATCTACTGATCAAACGTAATCATTTGTTATACTTTCAGCATCTCAATTTAGCCAATCTCTGTGTACAATAGAATCAAGTCAAAAAAATGTGGAAGGCAGTTTATCTTCATATACCAAACTTTTAGAAGAGGTAGCTTCATCCTACATTAGTTTCGCTTTATTTCAGGTACAAAACAATGTTATCAAGAACATGGAGGTTATAAAGGACAACTTCACCACCATAGAATCACATTTTCCAATTAGTTCTAAATAAATAATTTACTGAGTATACTCGTTGTTGGAAACATTCTTCTCTTCATTCAGTCTTACTTTTGAAACAATATTCTTTATGCAATGGTTTATTGACAATAACTGGTTTGTGGTTTTTAATTACATTCATTATAATTTGAAATCCCATTTTGTCTTCCAGTTCGTTTTGAGACCACTTGCTTAGTAAAAACGATGTGGTTTATCTGAAGTAGGTTACTCGAAACACGAAAACACTAAATTCTGTCGTATTCAGTAATAAGACTTCCAGTCACCGTAGAAAAGTATTGTTTTTTGAGAATAATCTGCTAGTTGACGTAACACAGAAGGAAACTTAGAAGCAAAGATTAATTAATGTTCGTTCGCGTTTCTTAATTATAAATTTCGGCATATACTGTGGATGGATTTCAGCTGGAACAACCAATTGGCGACACCCTTTACTACTGCTTTCACATAAGTATGAAAATTCACCCTTATTTTCTTACCTCATGAAGTCAATTCAAAACATGGTTTAAAAAAATCAATTAGTCGTTGATACGCACTATATTTGAAGATAGAGTGAAATAGAAGTACACAAATTTTCAAAAATATGTCTGGGAAGTTGAAGCAAACAAACTACCAAGCATGCGGCCACAAACGTTTTTGTCCATCAATAAGTCTCTTAAAAATAAGCGCCCGCCCTTCAGGAGTGGACATCCTAACTGACTCCGACATTTTGTTATCTCGACGAGAAAGCAATATGGTGTATAGTCTTTTGCGAGGCTTCTGGGTCGGACCTACTCTGTTTTGTACGGTTCGCATCATCAATTCATACGACTTAGGAAGGCGATTGTTCCGGTCATTTGGTCCGACTTCTTTCGGTGTCTAAACGAACGAATAACATCCAATTATAGTAATATACAATGATTAAAATTTTCTATCAATTAAACAACACAGAAACCCCATTGCAATAAGACATGATTGACTAATTTATTGACTGCAAGTATTGCATACAGCTGGTTTATAGTACCCTATGGCCCGAAAACCTTTTGAAAATGATTTCATGATTTGTTAACACCACATGGTTGTGATGAGCGTAAATTACTACAGAGCGTTTAGCTTAAGGTTGGATACCTTAATACAAACGTCATCTGAGCTGCAAATAATGGAAGGTGATTTGAGTGCTCAGGTAAACGAACTAAACAAAACCGAAAGAAATTGAGTGGTTTTTACGACGTTGCGGCTCGGCGAACAGATAATGGTGACCGTCTATTGCAACTATTATTTATTTTAACACAGATATTGGTACAAGAAGGCACCAAAGACATAGGCGCCACACAAATATTCGATATGTGTGAGGGCTGTGATCCTGCCCGGATGCCCAAACCGAAGCAGGTGATTTTCTTAGGGGGCCACTCCCCGAGCCTTCGACCTGAAGGTCTGATCCACAAGGCAGTGGAGCATCGTGAGGAGATGCAGTCCCATGGAAGCTGGTGACCATAAATTGGTTCATGCGCCATCTGTTCCCCCAGGATACTGAAGCCCATGTGCACCATTAGTTTGGGATCCGGTTAAAATGCCGGACATTCGCTTTTCGTCCTCTCATTTTTTTAAACAACACCCGCGACACGAGAAGGCAGTGAGTAGGACTTCCCTGGCAGAGGCTGTGTACGCGTAGTCGTGTGAGAGCATTTCGAGAGGGAGGCCGAGCCCACCCCACTCTCAGCCATACCAGGGCATTTGGGGCCTATTGCAACTATGCTAACGTAGCCGTTTTTCAGGCATTACTTCAGTCAGCTACAACGTAGGACGACACATATGTGCATCGGTTCAAGTTGCCACACCTCATCAGCACAACATCGTACGATGGACTAACCCCTGAGATTGTTAGGGATGGTGGTGCAGTTTTGGCAGTTACACTAACTAAATCCGAGCTACAATCTCGGGTCTGGATGTAATTTCATTTGGCAGGTCTTGATCACTGATCATCCCAGTCTAGAAGAAGGGATAAAAATCCTCTTGTGAGGAGACAGTTTAACTAATCTAGTGTCTAAAACGTTAGCCTCAATAATACTTCTACGTCTAACTATAGCTCATGTAGAGCAAACCCGAGGAAATTAGGCTGGTTTCAGACCTGAGGGTGGGTGTACGGACCAAATATTCACCCTTCGGCAGATTCTGTAACATAGACATACTTTCTGATGTTCGAGTATAGTTGTGTTGGTTGACCACTAGGTGGTGTTCAACCCCGTCGATCATGAGGTTCTATGGTTTTGTCTCACTGAAAGGTGTATCAGATAACTACATCAACCTTATACAGGTTTTCTACGCGTACACTACTGGTCGAGTCAGAACTTATTGAGAACTGTCGTCAGAATTAGTTGAGTGGTATTCACCAGGGTTGTCTGCTTTCCCGACTTAATAAACCTTGTCAGAGACATGCTTTTAGGAATGAAATATTCATCATCTAACTATTCAGTGATTGGTCTTATATCATGACATTTACTTATTGACTCAGAATACACAGATGATATAATTCTGTTTGGTGAAGATGCTGACCACCTTAGGCAACAATGCAAGCAAGTTTTGTGACGCAGATCTCTCCCTCTAAATACGAAATGTAACTCCAGGATTGGCTTGCGTCATCGCTTGAATGATAGGGAGTGAAGTGGTCGAACGCATCGACCGCCTCATTTATTTTGAGTCTCACCAGTTTTGATGGTTTGGTGTCTGACGAAATTTCGGCACGGATTCAGAAGGCTCGGTTGGCTTTTACCAACCTGTGATGGGAGATGTTTTCTGGTGCAGGAGTAGGCTGGAAGAAAGCTAAAGGTGAACAAACAAAAACATGGCATCAGTTCGTGAAGTTACTGATAACTGGACTTAGCCATATTAATAGGTAAAAACGACCTGGTTGGGGTCCGCGTGATTATCGTAACCAATGGTCAGAGACTTTGGATGGTACGGCTCAAAATCGTTTGTAATGGCGTACACGCATCCTTCTTTTGTCACCATCCAAATTCCGAGATTCTAAATTCCTCATAACTTTCTTTTGTTTTGATTTTACGAATTTATATTTTCTCGGATCGTATCTTCGATGCTTATTCTTCCTAACTTGACTTCGTTTCTCTTTACTAATGGGGTATGGATACATCGATCGGACTTTTCTGTTCTCCTTGGTCAGTGTCGATTGATCCATCTAACACGGCAGAAGTTTATAAGGAACTTCAACTCCTGCCACGAATACCAGGCCAGGATGGATGACTTATCTCCGGCCCTCTCTAAGAATGGTGGCGATCTTCTGACTACGGAATAGACTAGTTTGTTCGGAAACAGCGTGTCTCATTATTTTACAACCGGGCGATTTTTGTTCTCATCTTAAAAAAGAGGTTAAGTCACCTATGTAAGAATAAGTTTACTTCTGATTGCGTCTGAACTATCGGCTTCCTTCATACTATGTAGTGTTCTAAGCCCGTGAAATACTGACTCGCGAGAAGCAGGCTGTAAGCTATTTTGAAAAAAACATAAAAAAGGGATTCCAGAGAATACACGTTAAATATTACGACAAATTTACTCAAACTCACCTGCGGCTCGAAGTGTCGAATTAAGTTGAAACTACGGCAACTAAACTCCCTACTCAGTATGGGAAAAATCGGATTCCATAATGTACTAGGCATCTGTGTATACAATGATTTGTCGTAATCGATTAATTCAGACTAGATATTAAAAGCAGAAATCAGAAAGTTATGACTACATTGTGCGTAAAAATCAGTTTTCAAAATAGTCGGTAACGCAAGACTGACATGGAAAGTGATGAGGTGCAAATTGTTCAGGCAGAAAATCAATAATCTTCGTTACTCACTGTATATATTGATAAAGACACATCAATAATATGTAAGACAATAAAAACCAACAATATCAACAGTCGAATATTCGAAGTGAAGTTTCTCTACAAAAGTTCACGAATGAGGTCACAATTTGTTTTCCAGTGTTCGGACGTTTGAATTTCACGTTTCGACATCTGGACTTTTTATGGAGGCAATTTACATGCTACTTTGCCACTTCAGTTGGTCAAAGCACAAATAAAACATAAAGCCTTAGAAGTATTGGGAAATGTTTTTTGACAGACACTAGATAAAGTTTCAAATATTCACTGGATTTTTCAAGCCTTAGGTATTAGGCTAATGGTTTCTCATACTGCCACTTTTGTACGTCAAAGCCTCTCTGCCAACATGCCTCATTTCAGAAACAGCTTTTAGAACCATGTGTAACAAGAAGAATGGAGATACGTTATATATATATATATATATATATATATATATATATATATATATATATATATATACGTGATAGAACACAAAGAAAAAACAGAACTTAATATGATGTGAGATCTAGCAAACAACAAACCAAATAGAGAAAAATTGACAGTAGAGACTAATGATTGAGTCCTATATTTGTCCTTGGGAATGGTATGTGGGTCAACCAATTACGCGACTGTTCTTCAAGGTCTCTATGTCTATATACATTTGGTACCTTACAAATACTTAAACAATATAGAATCTGAGAGCTGGGTTCCTTCAGTTAAACATTCACATTAATTTAGTTTAGACAACTACTCTTTGTTTGAACGTATTTATTGATACCGTCTAGCAAGACCTCATTTGCCTCACTGCTCGGGCTCCGGTAAACCAAATCAATTCAGCAGCTCTTGTCCCTTGTATTTCAGGCTGCAACTAACTATTTCACACTTCACTCTCATTGGATACATTATCAATTATGGTAAATAGGATGATGTTCCTAATGAATATGGCTACTCCTCTTTACACTCCTGCATTCTATCGGCTCTTACTGACGTGAAACCTTCGAAATCAAGCTCCATACTGTCTATAGACTCCAGCAGCTAAGGGGCTGTGATTACATTCGGCCTGGTAGAGTCTATCTGTACGTCTAGATCTGGTTGCTGATTAGACAAAGTTTAGGCATTTGCGCAACAGTTCAGAAGCCTATTTAAATGGCTTTGTGCTGCACTTATAATGGCATTGTTATTATCCTATGTGAAGCTTCACATCCCGGGTATTTAGTTCATTATTGGCTAGAGAGATCAACTGCAACAACAAGTTAGTATGTAGTCTGTATAGAGCCATTCCCTAATATTCTATATATCACAATCAGATCATTTCAACGTTTGTAGTGTGAACGAGTAAAGAAGTCTGAATTATCAACATCCCTTGTGTATGTCAAGCCTCAAAACGTAGAATTATACGGACAGCTATTGCCAGTAATTTTTTCAAGATATCACTTTTGAAAGAGAAGCTTGTAGTCTGTACGTAATTTTTAAATTGA